CCCAACCTTCTTTTGAGTGAAAAAGGAAGATTTTCCTTTTTTAAAATAAAAAAGAGGAAGATTTTCCTTTTTTAAAATAAAAAAAAGGAAGATTTGCATGCCTCAATATTCTCACAGAATCCGTTTCAGCCTAAATTGTATGATGTATCTAGTTTATCAATATAGAAATTCAGATAGCTTACAAGCTCCATGTAGATAAAGCTTGACCTATGCATGGTCTAAGAAAACCACCTTCATCCATATATTTCAACTTGTCATCAAACCACAAACTGAAACCCAAAATTAGCAAAAGCAAAATATACGTGGCCCATCCTTATTAAGAGAATAAAGTACAGGTTTGTCCCTAGAGCAAATTTTAGAAGAAAGCTTGGGGAGGAGGCTGATTCAATCAGAAGTATTTCATATTCGTTTACCAAGCATAGTTTTCTAGACAAAAATTTCTAAATATTTAAAGTTTGTATCCAATTTTTAATGTATATATACATGATAATTAAAGTCAACTTAGAATACAGTTCAACATCAGAGTACCACTGATAGTACCTTCAACAGTCTGGAAATCAACGACCCATTTTCTTAGGCTCATTATAAACTTCTTGTCCAAGTCTCCTGGTTGAAATTTTGGATACTTTTGATAAGGAAGAAAACCCTCACCATCTCTTCCTTCATACAAAGCAAAAGCAGAGGACCGTTTATTGAAAACTGCATATACTTCTCCCCCATGAGTCTTCATCTGCAAAACGATGACCCTTGTTCAAAACCCACATCTTTCAAATATAAACACTCATATTTGTGAACCTTTCATCCGGCGGAGACTCTTCCTTCCAATTAAATTCCTTCCAATTAAATTTCTTAGTCCGACTAACTTCAGAGAAAGAAAAGGCGATTAAAAAACAGGATGCACTTAAAATATAATTGGCACATTTTGCATATCATGTTTCCTGTACAAGGAAAATACCATAACATGAGAAAGCTGAACTATATCTCCAAGTGCAGCTACATGAGGAAGCGCTCCAAAATGTTCAGCAAAAACATGAACTGAAAGCCCCGGTTTTTGATATGACTGATCAACTATCTTTAGCGTACAGAAGCAATCTGCAAAATCATCAAATGCTAAAGAAACCAAACCAAGCAAATGGAAGAAAAATAGAAACATTGCAAAAGAAAGACGTATAAAATCAGAGCAGCATTATGGATCACCAACCAAAAGTGAGCACTTCACGTTATCACCAAGCACAAATTCATATACAAAATCTAAGTACTACAGATACGACACAGGGACCTCATATTTTAAATGGCACTTTTTCCTTTTGAAAAATTAGCAGTAATGCTCTCCACTATTGGTATCTAACAATTTTTAAAAATATCATATTGGATCATAACAAGCAATTCCAGCAATACATAAGAAAATGACGCAAATCATGAAAAAGTACCATAGAAACTAAAATATAAGTTGTTATTGGTATTTAAAAAAAAGTTGAGAGTTGGGACACAACAGGCTTTTTTTGTGTGGCTAAAACAGACATTTTAGACTTACAAAACCAATAGAAATTTGACGTATGTGCAATTTTTGACGTTCATGATAAAATTTTTTCATGTTGCGTATCATACCACTAGCCTCTAGTATATATCATCACTGGTTTTTGAGAGAAATCCAAATTCACATGCTATTGCTACGTATCACTAGGAAATTTCACATTAACATTTCGGACTAATAGGGATCCATATCTAACCTTTTCTTTGTTTAGTTCTGACCCAGGACAAGAAAAATAAAAAAAAATAAAAAAGCAAAGAAAATGCTTGAAATTGGATTTGAAGAAGAATCAGTGGCTCAGAACAAACACCTTTACCGGGAATTTCATCATTCTACTACCGACCAGCAGAAACGGCAGCAGCCGTAAGTCCGGCCTTTTTGTCCTCATTGCCAACATGAATGGAATTATCAAGCAAACAAATATCATTGAAAATAATCTATTTAACTTAAAAAACAACTCACTTCACCAATAATCATCACACAATCTCAGATTTGATAGTGAAAAGTAAAATATGGACAAATAGAACATCCAATAAAACAAATTTATAGAAATGACGAGTGAGAAAGAGGGAGTACCAGTTCCTTTGGTTTTCTTAGGAAAACCGCACTCGATGATAACGCCAATTAGGCTAACCTTCTGATTGATGGAAGCTATGGCGTCCCTTATCTCAAGGAACTTATAGTCGTCTCTCTCCCCCATCTCAATCTCTCTCTCTCTCTCTTCACCTCTAGGGTTTTGCAGAAGCTTAGCGCTTTCCAGATGGAGGGCGAAAAGCGAGTTGTTATTGGAAAAAAGCTTTAGCGCTTTCCAATTTTCCACGCTCTT